GACAAATAGATGATACTGGGGGGTTGGTTGGGTTGGGGTGTAGCTGACAGATGGTTGCTGGCGTAAGATCAACCGGGGACTGGGCTAAACTCTCGCGCTGCGTGCTTGCAGCCGCTGTTCCTACCTCTGCTGTTCCTGCTTGTGGTTTCGTGAGGATTGTTTTGGTTCGGGCTATGGGTTCGAGTTGGGGGTTAGGTTGCTTGTTTTCGACGTCTGTTGTTTGCGCGGGGTCTCTGTATCGCTCGCGGGACTTGCTCGCGGTGCGTAAGCCCTTTCGGCAACGTTTTGCACGTGAAGGGGTCGATGCCGGCGACAAGAGCGACTGCCACCCGCGGAGTCGCGGGTGGTTTCGCGGCACTGGCGTGTGCGTCTACAAGCGTCGAGAAGGCACGACGTGTACCGCTTACGTTGTGTGTGCGTTTGGGAATGCTTGCGGGAGAGTCCGCAAAGTGCCTGCCTACGCTTACCACGCGGTGGCACCAGCTGTTTGCACCGTTGCGCGTTTGTACAGTTTTTCACGGGACATGGTGTACACGTCGTGAGGAACCGAAGCCCCCTTGAGTGTGGATCGGCAAGTCTTTGGCTGTTTTCTCGTATGGGTGTGCGGCGTTTTCTGTGGGCCTTCTACGGAGCTGGAGGGGGGCCCGTGCTTGTGAGTGTCGTTTTGTGTGTCAAATGCGTTTCATTTCTTATTTTTGCTCTTTTACAGTCGATAGTGTTGAGCCGTACACCTCTTGTACCTGTAGACTTAACGTTGTCACGACCGCTGTGTGTCTTGCGCGGATGTCGAGCTTGCCGCATCGAAGCGCATGCGCCCCGTATTTTAGCAGCCTGTAATATGTTCCTCGTTCGCAAAATGGGGCAACCTGTTGTCTAGACAACACAAGCATCCCGGAATTTGGGTCAAATGAGGAGACGAACCTCTCCCCGAATCATACACAGCAGTTATTTCGAAATATTGGTAAGCTAGCAAGAGGCTTCGTGTAAGGAGCCTGTATGGTGAGGTGTTGACAGAACGAAAGCCGCGTGATGTGTGTTGGTTCCCTTGTCGCGGGACTGTTATTTTCTTGTGGTCGTCGTAGTCGTCGTTGTTTTTGGTGTCATGTCTTGTATGTTCGTTGTGGTGAGGTGTGTCATCTGCTGTCGGTTGCGTGGTTTTGGTTTGAATCACCCCTCTCTTCCCACAAGCCTTGCCCGATGGATGAGCGAGCGATGGGCTGGGTGGGCGATACATTCAGTGGTGGCTGTCTGGAACAGCGTGCATTGACGGAATGACCCGTTCGTCGGTTTTGTTTTTTGTGGAATGCTGTGCGGTAGACGGAACATGTCCTCTCCATCCGGTGTTGTCTCCTCGTTATTTGCTGCCGCCCGTAGTTTCACACTGTAGCGGCTTGATGATGCCTGCTTGCTGTCCCTGTCAGTGACGACAATATGCACGCTTGGCGGAATGATTCCTTCGTCGTTCTTTTGTATTTCAATCAACAGTATGCGGTAGACGGAACGTATACTGCGTCGTCCGGTATTATTGTCTTCTGGTGCTTGGCCGGGTGCTAAAAAGAACATCCTCTTTGAGAACCAACAGGTTCATTTCTTCGTTTTTTCTTTTTCGTTCGCTCACTATATAGTCGTATCATGACCCTCACTCCCGCGTGCCGCAAATTCTGTCAGAAGCAGTGGTGTTGTCGGCAGGTGAGCCACCCCTTTTCTCAGTGTGTCCACGGTGTTGCCCGCTGGAGACATGTTCTTTTAGTTGCACGGACAGTCCCCTCGGTTAATTCACTCCCAATGCGGCGGAGTTCTCTTCCCGTGGCGTGTGGGGGAGGATCCTGGTTGGCATGTATGGGGTCGAGGATCGACAGCTACTCGTGCGTTGGGCCAAGGATAGGTCCGCTCGAACCAAGAGAGAGCGTGGTCCGAGCGGATCCTACTTTTGTCAAGACTCTCGAGAGTCCTTTTAGACCCCGCCTCGGTTCAGGCTATCCATCGTGGACTGCAATACGGCCGTCCGCCGTGGAGCGGCCTGGGAGGGCTTCGCTACAGCTCCAGTTAGAGGAAAGCCAGCCAGACCATCGCATACTTGCCCCCAAGTCTTGTCGCATGAGACGCAAGACGTTCTTTTTTTTCGTATACCTGGAACAACAATGAAGTTAGCACCCGATCTTCACGTCGTAGCGTGGTTTGAAGAGAGTCGTGTCTCCTCTCCCTCCAGACACATGTTGTTGTTGTCAAGCCTTGCTGTAGCTTGGCCGAATCTAAGTTACTAACATCAGCTAACCTAACGTGTGGAGCACCACTAAACCATAAACATGATCCTCTCTCTCTCTCTGCCCTCACCCTCACCCCCCCCCTGGTTGTACCTCATGGCGTGAAGTACATCGAACCCGCCTCTCGTCTCGCTCGCTCACACACTCTCAAAATATAATTAAAAAAACGAAAAAAAAAGTACCTCCCTCCTTGCGCCTACAAAATATTGTAGATAAATAGATGGCGCGGAGTGAATTATCTCGCCTCGGAACAACACGTCACCATTCCCATCCAACCTCGCGCCAGTCTCGTGCCCTCCTTCTCTTGCTCTACCTACCTATCCCTTGCCGAGCCCATGGTGTGAGTCCATGCTCTCCCCTAACCCCCGTCACTCTTTATGTTTTGCGATGTGAAGCAGAAGACGTTCCCCTCCCACCCTCCCCTCCCCACGTCCAACCTGCCCTCCCAACCTTTGGCATCCCATCATTCAACTACACAATATCTATCGGCAGTGCATGTCTATTCTCTCTCTCTCTCTCTCTCTCTCTCTCTCTCTCTCTCTCTCTCCCTCTCTCTCTCTCTCTCTCTCGTATGCACACACATCCATTCGCCCCATTTCCAGCACAACTCCCGTTTCAACGCACTTGAAAACAAAAAGCTCCCCCTAAAAATACACTTCTCATCTAACTCCTTCCTTCCACCCACTCCGTTAAAAACCCGCGCTCTAATAAACCCATCCCAGGGAGAGAGGGGGGCATCTGTTCTACCCGTCCCCTTCCCTGCACCACCCACGCGTTCGCACATACCGCCACAAAGAATGAGCGGCGTGACATTTATTGGCAAGCCAGGCGCAAACCGGCTCTCCCGCAACGCGCAGCTGCTTGTGCTGTACCCTGCCACGCGCGGCATACCACATTTTTCCACAACGTCAAAAACAACAGAGAGCCCCCTGACCCGTGCACGTGAACCACCAAAGGCGCAAAGAAGCGCACAACGATGTTCGTTCAGGGAATATTATATGCTGTTCAGAGTTTAAGCACCAACGTACGGGAATGCACACCACGGACGTTTTGGTAACGAGTCAAATCCTACAACAGCGGTACATATCATCAAACACACACAAAACACACGAGAGGGGACGTTTTCCCGTCTTGTCCCCGTGTAGCCGCGGGGCGTCCTCCCACGGATGCCGGCGCGGCGTTGTGGCGCAGCTTGCTGTGTCCGTCGCGCGCGTCGAGTCACAATGACAGCATCTGCCGCTCGATCTCGGGGAGCTCGGAACGGATCTGGGTTCGTGACGCACGACAAAGTCGGACAGGGAAGGGCGAGCGGGACGGGCACTCGGTTGTTGCTTGCGATGCCGTCGCGAGTTTGATAATGGGCAAGGAAAGCACAAAAAAAGCGTCGGCACAGGCGGGCGTGTTTTTCGGTATTTCACCCCGCTACAGGCCTGACGCCTGCTCCATGCCATCCGGCTAGCGCGGTCGATGCCAACATCAAACACACATACACAACCACAAACACGTCCCTCCATTGGCCAGCCCGTTAGCGCGGTCCACGCTAAAACTGACCAAGCACACGCCCAACACAATCACACGCTGACGGCTTTTCATTGGCCATCCGATTAGCGCGGTCCATCCTACCAGCCAGGAAACACACACAAACAAACACGTCCTTTTCACATTGGCCATCCGGCTAGCGCGGTCGATGCCAACCATTAAAACAAACACGCACACGCACGCATAACACACCTGGGAGAAGCTTGGGCGAGAGTCGGGGCTCCGATGCCAGCAGCGGCGAATCAGCCTCGCCACCGCCAGCGGCGCGGAGGGGGGGATCTGCGGCCGCAGCCCCTGGCGGGCAACCGAAAACGCCGCCTGCAGCGGCGTCAAACCCTTGAAGGGTTGCTTCCGCGCAAGGATTTGCCACAGTACGACGCCTGGTTGTGCAGAGAGAGAGAGAGGGCAAAACAGAGAACGTGTGCGGTTATGGGTGGGCTGTGTTGCGCTACAGAAGATGTAGGCCAACTGACGTCGATTTGTTGTGTTTCTCGTCAAGACCGCACTGCAGCACCGGCCACAACTATAGGTGCACACGCGAAGCGCTGCGGCAAAAGAGAGAACGAACAAGGATCCAAGGCTGGAAAAGGAAGAAAAGGGATTGCCGGTACAAAGGTGGTGTTACGAGGATGTTTACGGCCAGAGAATGGGAGAATCAGAACACACCCAACGGTCTTGACGAAAAGCCGGTCGCATGATACTCCAAACGAAACACTCAACCCGCACACAAGCACAATTTTGATATGTATTTCCCCCTTTGCGCCTACTCCACCAACTACATGTTTCCCTACCCTCAAGCCCCCCCCCCTCTTCTTTTCTCACCGAAGCTGTAGACGTCGGCGGCTTGGCTGTAGGGCTCGTGCCGGATTACTTCAGGCGCCATCCACCTGTCGCATGGATGTTCGCGGCGGCGACACGAGCAGCAGCAGCAGCAAAGGCAACAACAGCAACAGCGGAGCATCTAAAAATTCCTTCCTCGCAGGCGTCGTCGTGGTGTGGGGAACGGGCACCTCGGGCAGCTTTGTGTACACAAGGCGTTCGTTCGCAAACACAAGCCCCTGCGCCGGGCTGCAAACTCCAGCCGTCCGTTCCACCAAGCCACACGCCCGCAGGGAGAGCGCGCAACAACGAGTGAAACAGCCTGACTTGAGCGTCCCTGTCCCTTGCACCGCTACTGCTATTGGTCATGCTTCAAGAGCTCAATGCGTGGCGCAAATGTGGCAACGGTTGCCACATATAGAAGTCACTTTTCCTCCCACTCCAGAAAACAAAAAGGGGAACATGTTTAGGTGGCCGGGGCCAGCATGCGAAATAGATTGTCGGTGTCTTCCCGAAGGTGTCTGCCCGAAGCAACCAAAGCTCGTGCTGCTTCTACCGTACAAAAGTATGGCGGTAATCTCGCGTGTCAGCTGCTGTACACACCTGTACGTGCCCGTCTCAGCCGTGTGGTCGTTGGTCGGGTGGCTGAACCGACTCAGCCCAAAGTCGGCGATGACAGCCCGATCGTCCGCGTCGAGCAGGATGTTGTCCGGCTTAAGGTCGCGGTGCATCACGCCCAACTATTGTTTATCAGGCGGAAGGGTTTGGGGTATTGGGGTCGTTGGGGACAAACGGTAAGTGCAAACTTCCTGAGGTGGTAGGTAGGATGCATGGGACCACAGGCACGCAGCCTCCGGTACTCGCACAGACACAAGACCACCACCCAAGAGACTGCTAGGACCGTAACAGGAAGAAGGCAGCGGGGTCGCGAATTTTTACGCGGTGTCACGGTAGCGCAACAGGGCCAACGCGAAGCAAACAAAATGAACGCTGCGGTCTGCCGAGTGATGCATCGAAAAACGCTTCGTCGAAGAGGAAGCAAAAACAACGACGATGACATCCGCTCCACAGAGAGGCACAGCAGCAAGGTGGTTCAGAGGGGAGAAGGGCGGCGGGCATGGCTTCCACCCCTGAAGGGACGGCTGCGCAGGAGGTAGATCGAAAGATAACCCTGTACCTACCGGTTGTTGCAGCTTTTCGGATCACTGCTTCCAGGCCGCACGGCCGCAATATTTAGCTGTTGTAGGTCACTATTGGGAGATTCCACTACTGCAGTACTGCTGTATCTGCCGCCAATGCTAGACTCGTTCTCGATCATGGCTCCCCCAAAGCGTGCGGCTTCAAAATCGCGCCCGAATTGTGCGCGGTGTGTGTGTGTTCTGATGTGCTTCGCGTGGAGTAAAGGGTCGAAAAAAAAAGGAAAATAACACAGTTCACCGTCAAAGGAAAAATCTGCAACAAGTTTTCAAAGATACACTTCCCGCAGAAGAAGTACCCACCTCGTGCAGGTAGAGCATGCCGTTCACCACGTCCGTAACGATCCTCAAAAGATCCGTTGGTCTCAACGGCTCGCTTCCTCGGCCCCTCCTTGATCCCCATTCTCGCTCGCCACCAACACCACCACCACCACATCCGTGAACAGAGCTGCAGCTGCCGCTGCTGCCGCCGCCGCCGCTGGCGGTATCCCGCAGCCGGTCTCCGAGCGTACCGTTGTCCAGGAAATCGTAGACCAGGGACAGGTGGTGCGGCAGCGACACGCTAACCCCCCGGAAGCCGCACACGTTGGGGTGCCTCAGGTTGCTGACGATGTGCTGTTTGGTGTTGTTTTGTCGGAATCGACAACGCCGACGCAAGAGGACACGGAACACAGGGGGGTGGATGAGTTGTTTGCTGCCGGCCCGATCGACGAAGCCGGGGGTTGATTAGACTTTTTGTTTCCTTCGCACCACTTTAAAACATAGACCGACAAAACGCCCGTGAACCAAGCCAACTACCACGAGACGTAAACAGTAAACAGCCACTTGATGTTCTTCGTTTGTGTGTGTCAGACCGACCAACATGGCCAGTGCCACGATCGCGATCCACCCGTACTCTGATCAATATTTTTCATGGCCGAGGTAACCGCTACCAAAAAAAAGAAAATACAGCAGTCGGGCAAGTCAACACACACACAGCCGGAGCCCCCCCCCCCCCCCCCCTCGCAGAAATGAGGACGGCACGGAGGGATGCTCACCAGCTCTCGCTCAAACTCAGCCACCACGACGGCCCTGCTGCCACCGCCGTCCCCGACGATTTCCGCACCCGCCGCCTCTTGCTCTCGATCCACCTCCGGCGGAAGCTCCAGCGTCTTGACCGCGACCGTGGACCCTCTCCACCTCGCCCTGTACGTGCGGCTGAACCGGCCCTTCCCGGCCAGCTCGAGGAGCTCGATGTCCTCCGGGGGGATCGTGGAGTACCGGCAGTCCCCGCCGTGAGTTCTGCCGCCGTCGTTGCCGATCTCGCTCCTGGTGCACGGGCTGCAGACGGTGCTGTCGTTTGCGCCGTTCTTGCTGTTGCCATTGCTGTTGTTGTTGTTGTTGCTGGTGTTGTTGTTGCTGGTGCTACTGTTGCCTAGCGAATTGGCGCAGCTGACGCCACCGCCGCCGCCGCCCCCACCGAAATGAGACGCGTCGCTGTTGCCGTTGCTACCGAGCGCGTTCGCGTCGGCTTCCGCTAGGAAGAAGCCGCCCTGCCGCCGAGCCAGGGGTTCCTGGTTGCCCCGCCGCCGCCCGCGAGAGGAGGAGGAGGAGGAGGAGGAGGAGGAGGAGGAGGAGCGGGAACTGCTGTCGCTTGCCCCCCCGCCAGCTGCGGTCGTTGCGGTCCCCCCTGCGGGCGTTGCGGTGCCCCCTG